GTAATTCATAATTGAATGTTATTTTTTTTATCTTTCTTTGGAAAATCTCGCTTCTACAAATGATGAAACAATATTTTCCAAAAAATCACATGGGTTCTATATTTATTTAACTACAACACCTTATTATAATTTGGAAAAAAATCCAAATTACGATTTGAAAAGAATCTAAATTTATATGGACCGTTTAAATTACTTTTTTAGATAAAATTTTTAAAAATGCCGATTAAAATTATGTTAATTTTTCAAGAAATTACAAGAAAACACCATATTTTTAAAATTTGGATTTTTACATTTTTTTTTTTTACATTAACATTTGTAAATCGTTTCGTTATTAAAAAAAAAAAAGTCCAACGCTATATCTTGAGGTAATATCTTTTATCATAAAATTCAATATACTAAATAGAAATCTTCTATCATAATATTCAACGATAATACTATCTAAGTATTCATGTTTTGTTAGGATTAATACATATTTTTTTGGAAATCCTCATTACACAATCATGTTAAATATTGTTAACTTTTTCAAACATTCTTATAGTTTAAAAAGAATATAAATTTATATGAATTGTTTCAATCATTTAATTAGATACAGCCTTGAAAAAACTTGTTTACACAATTGTGTGAAATTCAGTTAACTTTTCCGAAAATTCAAGCGTAATTGGTGTCGAAATTTATCTAACTATAATATCTTTTTAAAATTTGAATTTGTTCCATTATTTTTGTTACGTTGACAATCGATTGATTCAAAATAAATCAAACACAATATTTTGAGTTTATATCTTCTATTATAAAATTCAATACTCTAATTAAAAAACCTCTACCACAAAATTCACCGATAATACTGCTTAATTATTAATTGGCTTAACACGTTTAATAATGTCCTAAAATCATATATACATATACTAGTACAGTACATGTGCGATGCACAAGGATTTATTATCTCCGTCCATTTAAAAAGCAATTTTCAGTTAAAATTCAAAGTACTTACTAAAGGAAAGATCATGTCATTAATAATTAATAAATTAATTAATATAATGAAAATAAATTTATATATTATTTAACATTGTCTTATATACGACGTTCATGGTTTGATTATTTGGTACGTCATCGTCACCACAAATTAAGAATTTCAAACCATTTCTGTTTGTGACACGAGAGAACAACAGACAACTGGCCATGACAAAACATTGGTATCTTAAGAAATAAGTCCACATACAAATGATTGTCTTTGCTCGTATTTATAGTCATGACATAAGAAACCAGAAACCATAATGGGAAACTACCAACGTTGGAACCTGAAAGGAATTCTAACATCAGAAGGAGTTATAGTCATTCTTGGAATCAACACTTTATCACGTGCGTGATCACCAGTGAATATCTTACACCTGAGAACGTGAGTCAAGAGCTTTGTCACATCTAGTCGTGTTCCATTACACAGACCCATAGAGGAGATATAGTTACAAAATATCAAGTTAAAAAGGATCGAATTAGCTTAAAAAATAAGATCGTACTTATCAATGTGACATAATGTTTACAAAAATCAATGGAGTTTGTTACAATTTAATTTGGTAAGGCTTTGTGGATTTATTGAAAAATAATATTTTTATTTTGATATGTATCATTTATCAATTCTTGAGATTTTTTCTGCAATATTTAACTCAAACAATCCGAAAAAAATGTGAAATCTGTTACCAAAAAAATCCCAAAGATTATCGGCAATATATTGTGTGTAAATAACTATGAAATGTGTTACAAAAAGAATGATATATTAAAAGTTCTGTTATCAAAATATGAGATTTGTTATCAAAATAAGATCAAATTTATTACCAAAATCTGAGAATTGTTGTCAAAATTCGATCAAGTTTGTTAACAAAATTCGATTAAATTGGTTGACATGTGGGGCCCATTGATATTGCTTATATTACTAAGTCAACAATTAATTTTTTTATTTTCAAGATTATGTGCCATATCAATTTGCCAAAATTAATGGAGTTTGTTACAATTTAATTTGGTAAGACTTTTAAGATTGATTGAGAAATAATAATTTTATTTTGATATGTATCATTTATCAAATTTCGTGATTTTTCTGCAATATTTAACTCAAAACAAGCAAAAAAATTGTGAAATTTGTTACCAAAAGAAACTCAAAGATTATCGGCAATATATTGTGTGTATATATAACTATAAAATGTGTTACCAAAAAAAACGATATATTAAAAGATTTGATATCAAAATTTGAGATTTGTTATCACAATCCGAAAATTATTATCACAATCAGATCAAATTTGTTAACAACATCCGAGATTTGTTATCAAAATAAGATCAAATTTGTTACCAAAATTCGTTTAATTTTGTTGACATGTGGGGCCCATTGATAATGCTTATATTAGTAAGTCAACAATTAATTTTTTATTTCGAAGATTATGTGACATATCAATGTGACATAGTGTTTACCAAAATTAATTGAGTTTGTTACAATTTAATTTGATAAGACTTTTTGAATTGATTAAAAAATAATATTTTTATTTTCATATGTATCGTTTATCAAATTTCAAGATTTTTTCTATAATATTTAACTCCAAATTTCAAAGATTATCGGCAATATATACTGTGTAAATAACTATGAAGTGTGTAACCAAAAAAATCGATATTTTAAAAGATTTGTTGTCAAAATCCGAGATTTGTTATCACAATCAGATCAAATTTTTTACCAAAATCAAATATTTGTTATCAAAATCCGATCAAATTTGTTAGCAAAATCCGATTAAATTGGTTGATATGTGGGGCCCATTTTTATTACTCATATTAGTAAGTCAACATTAATTTTTTATTTTGATAATTATGTGTCATATTAATGTGACTTAATGTTTATCAAAATTAATAAAGTTTGTTATAATTTAATTTGGTAAGACTTTTTGGATTGTTTAAAAAATAATAATTTTATTTTGATATGTATCATTTATCAAATCTCGAGATTTTTTTCTGTAATATTTAACTCTCCAAAAAAATTGTGAAATTTGTTACCAAAAGAAATCCCAAAGATTATCGACAATATATTTTGTGTAAATAACTATGAAGTGTGTTACAAAAAATACCAATATATTAAAAGGTTTGTCATCAAATCCCGAGATTTGTTATCACAATCAGATCAAATTTGTTAACAGAATCGGAGATTTGTTATCAAAATAAGATCAAATTTGTTACCAAACTCCGAGATTTATTATCAAATTTTGACCAAATCTGTTATCAAAATTTGAGTAAATCGGTTGACATGTGGTGCCCATTGATAATGCTTATATTAGTAAGTCAACAATTAATATTTTATTTTTAAGATTATGTGTCAAATCAATGTGACATAATGTTTACCAGTATTAATGGAGTTTGTTACAATTCAATTTGATAAGACTTTTTTTGGATTGATTGAAACATAATATTTTTATTTTGAGATGTATCATTTATCAATCTCGAGATTTATTGTGCAATATTTAACTCTAATCCGAAAAAATTGTAAAATTTGGTACCAAAAGAAAATCTCAAAGATTATCGGCAATAGATTGTGTCTAAATAACTATGAAGTTTCTTACCAAAAAACCAATATATTAAAATATTTACTATCAAAATCGGACATTTGTTATCACAATTCAAGATATGTTATCACAATCGGATCAAATTTGTTAACAGAATCCGAGATTTGTTATCAAAATAAGATCAAATTTGTTACCAAAACCGAGATTTGCAATCAAAGTTCGATCAAATTTGTTACCAAAATCAGATTAAATTGGTTGACATGTGGGGCCCATTGATAATGCTTATATTAGTAAGTCAAAAAATAATCTTTTATTTTGAAGATTATTTTTCATATCAATGTGACATAATGTTTACCAAAATTAATGTAGTTTGTTACAATTTAATTTAGTAAGGCTTTTTAGATTGATTGGAAAATAATATTTTTATTTTGACATTTATCAAATCTTGAGATTTTTTCTACAATATTTAACTCCAAACAATACGAAAAAATTGTGAAATTTGTTACAAAAAAAAAAATCCCAAAGATTATCGACAATATATTGTGTGTGAATAATATGAAGTGTGTAAACAAACAAAAAAAAGCGATATTTTAAAAGATTTGTTATCAAAATCCAAGATTTGTTAACAAAAATATGAGATTTGTTATCAAAATAAAATCAAATTTGTTAACAAAATTCGAGATTTGTTATCAAAATAAGATCTAATTTGTTACCAAAATTTAAATATTGTTATCAAAATTCAATCAATTTTATTACCAAAATCCATTTAAATTGGTTGACATGTGGGGTCCATTGATATTGCTTATATTCGTAAGTCAACAATTAATTCTTAAGTCAAAGTTATTATTTTTGTATTTTTCAACAACCTCTTTATATTACTATAGATATAAATTTTTAATTATTATGAGGTGACAAATTCTAAAAATGAACATACTGCATATATGACACAATATTTATTTAATTATTTTTAAATTAAATAAATATATAATAAAATACTATATGACAATTTTTTTTTTGTAAAACAAAAAAGAATAGTTGAGTATTATGATAAACAAAAATAAGTAAAATCATTATTTTTTTCTATCTAAAAATAGATATAAATGTTAAAATATTATTTATACTAATATAAATTGTTAGCGTGATAATATGTTATTAAAATGTAATTTTTTTATAAAAAAAAATAAGAAACAAGTCGGTCGTGCTAGTATTGTATCAAGCATGCTCTAAATACGTCATCCGTTCATCGTCACCGGGATCTGAAATCCACCAACACCATTTCCGTCATTTCAAATTAACTCCGTCAATCAACCAGCCGTATTCAAGTCTTTCACTCCCTTTTCTCTCTTCACCAAATTTCACAATTCCGCCATTTTTTCATCCTTTCAAACCTTCTTCAACAACTCAAAGCCGAAGAACGCCCGAAGAGAAAAGAAAACCCTTTCACTCTCTCAGATCGCAAGAAAGATCTGAGAAATGGGTTCCAATTACACGGAGCCGTTGAACAACCTCCCCTCCACCTCCCCCCTTCTTGTTCCCAAAATCGAGCCCAAACTCGAACCTTTCGACGATTCCTCCCCATCTCCGCCTCCATTCCACCATCTCTCCACACCCTCTCCCTCCGCCGCCACCTCCAGCACGCCGCTGCTATCATGCGATTTCGGCCGCCTCTCTGAAATGTTCCGCTCCGCTACCGGCCGCGAAACCGATTACCTCGCCGGCGACCAAGCCCCGCCCGAGCTCGACTCGAACCCGCTTGCCATCGTCTCCGTCCCTGACGGACCAGGGCCCCACCTCTCGAGCGTCGTCTTCTCGCCTCGCGGCGTCAGGAAGTACCCGATCCGCTCTTCCGAACTGGTCCGGGTCACGGATCTGAAGCCCGAGGACACCCTTTTCTTCCGCGGGTCGATCCGGAGGGCCCGTATGGTTTTCGACTCCCTCCGCGCGTTCGCCGTGGCCGAGGACGAGAAGCGCCGGGAGGTGATCCCCAATCGTCGAACAAGGGCAGACCTCAAAGCGGCCGCGGTCATGAGGGAGCGCGGGCTGTGGCTGAACCGGGACAAGCGGGTCGTGGGCGAGATTCCCGGGGTCGAGATTGGGGACGTCTTCTTTTTTCGGATGGAGATGTGTGTCCTGGGCCTCCACGGCCAGGCCCAGGCCGGAATTGACTACGTCCCCATCAGCCAGAGCTTGAACGGCGAGCCAATTGCTACCAGCATTATAGTCTCTGGAGGTTATGAAGACGATGAGGATGCTGGCGATGTAATAGTGTATACTGGTCACGGTGGGCAGGACAAGAATGGCAGGCAGGTCGAGCACCAGAGGCTGGAGTGTGGTAACCTGGCCCTGGAGAGGAGCATGCATTACGGGATTGAGGTACGAGTAATCCGCGGATTTAAGTACGAAGGCAGTGTGAGCGGCAAGGTCTATGTGTATGACGGGCTATACAAAGTTGTCGAGACCTGGTTCGACGTGGGCAAGTCAGGCTACGGTGTCTACAAGTTCCGGCTCGTGAGGATTGAAAATCAAGAGGAGATGGGGAGTTTGGTGATGAAGTTTGCTATGAGCTTGAAGACACGCCCCCTCGAGGCCCGACCCGCGGGATATGTGTCTCTTGACCTCTCGGGCAAGAAGGAGAACTTCCCGGTGCTCTTTTTCAACGACGTTGACTCTAATCAGGATCCTGTCTATTATGAGTACCTCATGAGTTCTGTTTTCCCTCCCTTCGTGTACGGCACGGGAAGTGGGATCGGGTGTGAATGTGTCGGGGGCTGTTCGGATGGCTGCCTTTGCTTGGTGAGGAATGGCGGCGAGTTTGCATACGACTTGAATGGGACTCTGGTGCGGGGAAAGCCACTGATTTTTGAGTGTGGGCACAACTGCCGCTGCCCCCCAACATGCCGTAACAGGGTGACCCAAAAGGGGGTGCGGAATAGGTTTGAGGTCTTCCGATCGAGGGAGACAGACTGGGGAGTGAGGTCTTTGGACTTAATCCCAGCAGGCTCCTTCATCTGTGAGTACTCTGGTGTGGTTCTCACCCGGGAGCAGGCCCAAGTGCTGACGATGAACGGGGACAGCCTGATATACCCGGGTCGTTTTGGTGAGCGGTGGAGAGAGTGGGGGAATCTTTCGGAGGTCTTTGCCGATTTTGTGCCCCCTTCCTATCCTATGGTGCCCCCGCTGGACTTCGCCATGGACGTGTCGAGGATGAGGAACCTGGCCTGCTACATGAGCAACAGCACGAGCCCGAATGTGTTTGTGCAGCTAGTTTTGTACGACCACAGCAATGTGTCCTTCCCCCGCATCATGCTGTTTGCCATGGAGAATATACCGCCCATGAGGGAGCTGAGCCTTGACTATGGGGTGCCCAGCGAGTTGACAGGGAAGCTTGCTATTTGTAACTAGCAGCGTGGGGTTCGGTCGCTGTCAGGATCTCCAGGGAGATCATGTGGTGAGGTTGGACTTTATTTTTGCCTTTTTAATTTGACTTGTCTTATTTGCTTTATGTTTTCATGATTATGTTTGGATTGTTGGGTTCTTTCGTTGTGAGTCCCTCAAACGACATGAATTGATTGGTTGGTTTGTTGTGAAACTCTCACTCCTTTTTTCAATGTATGTGGCATCTCAAAGAGGATTATGAACTCCGTTAAGCATTTTTTATTTTCGTTTTCAATAATAAAGTATGGACTGTCTCCATACTATGTCTTTATAAATGTGTTTGGATAACTCTTTAAAACACTACTGGTGCTTGGAAACACCTGACTTAATTTGTGAAAATGACTTCTGTTCAGAATTTACAAACTACCGTTTGAAGATTGTTCAATATACAGTCACTTTCCAGATTCTTTAAAAAAAAAAAAAAAAATCTTTTGAAGAAAATTTGATGTGTAGAATAGACACAGAAAACTAAAATGATACATTTTTAAAGAAAAAAAAATGAATATCTAGATTTAGCTTCAAGCAAGGGATGCCTGGCTATAGATCTAGGCGCGTAGCCTAGATTTAGGCTGTAGCTCATCCTCTTTGCTTGTTAGCTTTTAAGTCTACATTAGGTAACATATATATCGATATATTTTTTTATTGTACATTGGTAATTTATATGTTAAAATTTTGAATTGTGATTTATGTGACAATTAATTAGACAACCTTCTTTTGTAGATTGATGTTAATAGATTCTACTCTAGCTTCATTTCAAATGTAGTCTGTCTTTTACTCAATTAAGTGTTTTTACTTGAAAAAAATTATATTCGAAAAAAAGTAACTTGGTGACTAATTCATAAAATCTTTTATATCTAGAAGGACTTTGAGACGAATTCATTTTTCACTTGTTAACTCAGAGCCCTCAAGATAAACTACTACATTGATATATTTGCAAAATCCAATATGGTGAGTTTAAAACCTTGAACATGAAGAGAATATGAAATTCCTTAGAATAACCCGACATATTAAAATTGCTACTGACGGCTAAAAGGCTTTGAGCAAACTGATATAAGATTAAATATTCAATTTAATCATTACCCTTGAAGGAAACTTGCTACCAATCTCATTCAATCCTAGTTAGCAGCTCATATGCCTCAAATAAGATAATATTAGCTATTGATGTGTTATATAACCATAATCAAATTCCTAATACCTTCCACCATGATGAAGAAAAAAAGTTAGAGAAACATGACAATTATTTTCTGTTGTGAAGGGTGTTCAACAATGGATAAACCCATTGTAGATTTCTAATTTCTTGCTTCCTAACATGTCTGTCACTAAGTTCCAAGACCAATTCGATCGGCCTTTCTGATGTTTTTTGATGCTATATTGATGGATTGTATATATGTTCAATGAAATATATTTTTTTATACCTGTTTTCGATGCTTGATATATATTTAATGATATCTATTTAAATATACATTGATTAATTGATACCATATTAGCATAGTTAATTAACTAGTATTTTAAGTTACATAATCCTTAATAACATTTTTTATTTCTCTTTTGAAGTTAGCGGCAGGTTAATACCCATTGTTAATTGACTCAATGAATTCATTGTTGTTCCGTTTCCATATCTATGTATAATTTCTTTCCTCTTTAAGTAATTTACCCATGTTGTTTTCCCCTGTTGATATATGTTCTTTGCAAAATTATATGTACAATTGTTGTTTGAAAAGAAATTTTTTCGTGCTTTATATTTAGTTTTTATTTTTATTTTGACACATTGCAGTTGGATACTTATTTGAGAGTCATACCCTTATGAAACTTATGCAATCTGTTATCCCTCACAAGATAATCTGTAATTTGTGAATCTGTGATTCCTCACTAATTTTGGTTATTTGCGAATCTGTGATCCCTCACAAGAGAATTGTAACAAAAGAATTTAGTAATTCAAACTTTCTATTTGCATCTACTTCATCTTGTTTGAGTTGGCTCATTGTGGTAAGAAAAGGATACCTTATTGCGATCATACATTGCAGGCTGCACAAAAAAAAAATTTGGACTTCAACTATGGCTCATGAAGCAAGCTACATTATCTTTTATGTCACGGAAATATCAAGTTCTGGAGTTATCTATTCGAAGGGGGAGGATCTCGATTCTATCTTGCAGCAGGGTAATTAAACTATCCTTTCCTATTCATCTTGTATGTTCTTCTTTGTGAGTTCGAATGACTTGATCATACTCACAAATAAATAAACACACCTTGAACCTCATCACAGGAACTCCCATTCTGTCTGGTTCTCAATTCTTCACCAATAAACACCATCCTGACCTCCCCATCGAACCAGGTCTCGAAAACTCAGTACAGCCTATCATGCCATGCTTGTCCTGCCCTAAAATGACCTATGTTTTGTGACCTATCATTTATTTAGTGTATAGCTATAAGTAGAATTATTTCTGAATATTGTGATATTCTGAGTGTATTATTTAGTCATGATCCATGGCCATAGCTTTTGTTGTTAAGGTTTTTATGTTATATCTTTGATGTTATTTCAAAAGCTTTTGTACCTGAAGCTTATCAAAGTACAATGTAGATGTGTAGTGTTAGCAAGTAGTTGCAGTCGTCTTGCCCTTTACTTTTGATTATGCCGTTGTATATATGTGATTGTGCTTTATCATATACGTGGAAGAGAATAACCTATTAAATTAAGGCCCTATAAGCAGCCATGGAAAGTCCAATATTTTTCATCATCCACTTTAACATTGGATATGGTCTCGGCATTCCTATATGATGCTAAGAGGAAATACATGTAAAGGTGATGGCACCAAAGTTGTTATTCTTCTTCTTTTGTGACAAATGGAATATCTACTGGGATTAAATAGAAGCTGGCATTTTTATAGTTTAGTTTGTGCTCTGAACATATTAATTTTTTTTTTTTTCCCAAATTCATTCCAGATTTATATGCTTGAAAATAAATAGGAAGTTCCCTGAACCATGAGAATTAAAAAGTAAGTCAAGTTTGTTCGCATAAGTTACCACCTATACTGACAGAGTGGGTGTAGTTCTGCTGTACGTCTTAGTTCATTATATGCGAAGAATTACTCATCGACTCTTGTTTCTTGCAAACATCCAGAAACTAGTTTTCAGACAATTTGTCAGTTGTATGATAGAGTGCAGAGACTTACATTCCTTAATTTAATTTTCATGTGATACCTATTCTTTTCCCATGTACATCATTTTTTCTCTTCTTGATGTGGGTTATCTGTGCGTTGTTTAAATAACAAATCTAGACGGGCTTCAGCTCAAATGTGTTCTGATACTGGCAACATGTTTCATGTCGTAATCAGTTCTCGTTTGATTTCCACATTTAAATGTAAATGAAACCTAAAATCTGTACACTGAAATAATTTTAATGTCAATTCAATAGTAAGTTCCTATGAATTTATTAGGAGGGGGGTTGCATTCATTTGGGATTCTAAAAGACATTTTAAGACATCGACACTTTAAGTTTTTGAGATTTAAGAGGAATCCTGAACATAAGTCTAGAAGTGGGATTTCGGGCGAGATTTTGTATAAGGTTTTCTGTTTATGAAATCTCAGCAAATTTTAAAAAGTCGTATAAATCTCAGTGTTAAATACCTCATGATTTGCTAAGACATTTTGAAATATCAAATGAAGGATTTTTAGAAGTCTTAAAAAGTTCAAATTAAATATACTAAAATCCCTAAAGTCCCAGCAAATCTTTAAGAATCTCAAATGAATGCGCGCATTAATTGCGAAAACATACTTGGTTGTCTAATCACAGAAAATTGAAGTTTGTCTCAAAATTGCAAATATCCCCCCTGGTATCATTTCTATTTCACATTGCGTATGGGGCCATGTTTTAAGAAAATATAAACCTCAAGGGGGTGCTCGTAATATTTTTATGTTGTATTTGTAGTTACTTAGGGTATGGTTGGTTCTAAACTCAATTAAAAAAAAAAAACAATCAAAACTCGAATTTAACTCAACTTTATTCCAACACCATTATCTTCTATATTATCAATATAATTAAATAATATCAACAAGTCATTTTTACGCATCACATCAACTTTAATTCACTATTCATCCACTCACATAATCTTAACTAACCATCACTTCCAATCATTTTTTTCCTACTTTTACATCAAATCAACTTTAATTATTTTATTTTAAATAACATTTTAATTTTAACTTAAATTCCCACTAACAATTAACCGTACCACCTTTAGATTAACTATGGCTAAAAAAACTAATCAAATCCATATTCAATCACAAATATTGTTGTTTTTTTAGTTTGTTTCTGTGTCCTTTTGAGTCAGTAGACCAAAATCAATAGACATTTTTTGTCATTAGACAACTGATCCTGACTTGGCTTCGTTTTCCATGTGCAGAAATTACAATATACGGACTCGGAACACATTATTCGATGAATCCTGACAAATTTTCGCCGTGTTTGATTTCAGATGAATGTTTTCTACTTGCGCAACTTGAATGAAGTAAAGAATAATTATTATGAGACTAATAGCCTCCCTGGATGGAAAATCGTTTTTGCAAAAAGTTGTTGCGTGTATACTATGTACTATGGTAGTATGGTTCCTGTAGTTGATGGGAGAATTATTACGTTAGTCTCCCATAACATGTGTACTCTTGTAAGAATCAGCCTTTGTATGAGGATCATAGTCCGGGTATATAATGTAGATGATATAGGCTTGATTCGATGCTGGTGGTGGGGGCAGTGCAGTCATGCCCCCACCACCCTTGATTTACACACACATACACACACACCCACATGGGTGTGTGTGAAATCAATGGTACAAAAGCCCATGTGGGCACTGCACATATGTGCAGCATCGAAATTTCCGATGATATAGATATTTGTATGCGATCATTCGTACACTTTTCCACTTCTTTAACATCTCTAATCATTGTGGAAATTAACTTTGCTTTGTTTCAGATTTTT